TGCATTGTTGAGAGGAATGCCAGCGAGGTTGCACTGGCGGGCTCCAATTATGAAATAAACATAAATTTTGTAAACGCCCATATATGTGGCTCGACAGGGACTATTATTGGTAATATATGGGCCTCATTTTTTCATCATGAACTATTAAGTAAAACGCCAGTTTTTATGTTCAAAGCCAGGGGTGTTCTTGTACACTTGCATGGCCCTTGTTCATACAGGAAAGTGTCGTGTGTCTTTTGCATCTATAGCAGGATGATTCCAGAATTCAGGGGTCCTTGTTTTTCGTGTGCCTGCATATGATCTTGAAGTTAGAACATATTCTCTAATTTCCAAGGGTGGTGAATAAATGCAAATTACCTGCCAAACAAATAGTTATAGTTTGAAATCCGTTCCGGTGAGGTTTCTATGTCTTATAACAAAGGTCAGACGTAACAGGGACACAAAAATGTCACACTTTTGGACCCCTAATTTCAAGAATTACCCAGCATTCTGTGTTTACTCATGGAACTCTAAATGATCAAACAGGATGTAGGAGAAAAACAAGTGAAAAAAAACCAAACCAGCTCATTTGACATAAGCCCCCAATGGTCTCAGGCTCTGACTATGTCCTGAACCTCAAGAAAAGTAGAGGCGGTGATTGCCCTTTTCAACTAATCTTCCCATGCCCCAGTGTTACGGCTTGTTAAGCTGAGCTGTCCAGGGAACTCCGTGTAGATCACTGGAGACTACACCGTGGACTGAAGGGCTTCGAGGGGGATTTATTGCGTGAGATCATTCGATCTCATGAAAAAATACTGCGCTGAGCGCATCGTCAGTTGTGCTATACGGCCCGTTGGGGGGCTCAAGTACGCCCCCCTCCCCAACAGATCGCCAGGGGTTTACGGTCGGTATAGGCCCTGCCCACGCCTCCCTTAATCCCCATAAAAAGGATAGATCTCTAACTACAGAAATCATTGTGTGTACTTGGGGGATAAAAAGCAGGCCTAGGGTGGCAGATAATATGGTATTCCGCCTAGAATGCAGCTTGGCTCGTCAGAAAAGCCAATACACTAGGGGTGGCATGGCCCTTTCAACCCTCTCACCCGGTTGCACTTTCAACGACTTGGCAGGATCACGTCGCAATCTGACGGTCCATCCCCTTGCGCTACAGTCAGTCCCAGAGTGCCACAACTCTGGACCAAGATTATGTTTTTATTTACTCAGCAACTCGAGAGCTTGTTCAATTTGGGAAATCCCTCAACGAATCCCGAATGCCAAAAGAGAAATTATGGTTCCTCCCTGCACCAGATTTGAGGAGTTTTAGTTGAGTTAATTAAAATCATTTCGATCGCTCAAAATGAAGATACAAATAGTTGTCGGGATCATTTTCCAGCAAGTGGTTCTCTGGGTTTGGCTGTACATCAGACACTAGGTTTTAGGCTTCTACATCATCAAAGCCTTCAGAGTCGTTGTTTTAGTCAAATCAAATCACAAATCATTCTGCACTAAGTATTTAGTCTACTTTACACTTGAAAAACAACATTTAGAGTTTAAATACTTTTCTTACCCACTTTCCCACACGTTCAACCCATGACATGTTTATTAACATGTGTTTAGGGATGTGTTTAAGCGCTAAACCCTTTTTCCGTGGTACATGTTTAGCTTTTGCAGTGGAAATCCGCTTAGCGTTTCAACACATTCCTAAACGCATAACACTGAACATGTCGCGGTTAAACATTTAAAAAAAAAGGTACACAAATGTGTTCAGAAATGTGTTTAAACTCTAAGTGTGGTCTTTACAGTTTATAATGCAAGTGGTAACTACCAATCATTGACCACTGATATTCCTTCGCCACATTTTACTTTAATGTTGAACACCGTAATTTGTACACTTTACCTACATCCTGCTTCCTTTTTCTGGGGGCGTATTTTATGAGAGAATGTTCAAAAGAAAAGGAAATAATATGAAAAAGATGGTTCTCAACCACTGATCACTGTATGCGTAAAAATATCCTTGTCCCAATTTTGAATGTATTTTTCTCGTTGTGTTTGATAATTATCGAGACTTGTGGATGGACGACAGAAAATTGTACCAACGTTTTACATGTTACAGTGTCATCAGCTATATGCCACCACGCCCTTAATAATTACGCATATAGGCCAACAGGTACAGAGCTGGTATAACCCACTGGGCTCCATCGGCCAAAAGTTCATTATTGATTCAAAATGGGGGCACGGTTGGTCTGTGAGGTCAAACGCCAAAATGTCTATTTAGAGTTTAAACGTTCCCCCTAAAGGCTTACCTATGTCTTATAAATCTTGTACCATTTACTACACACTGACAAAAGTACCTTGCAGACAATGTCCTTCATTGTATATATTCAGTCGGCCGTAAGACATACTAAACGTTTCACACTGCTTTGGCAACTATTACGAAATCGAATCAGCCGTGAAGGCTCCGAGGGAATGTAGATGGGGTATAAGGTATAGGCCTAGATCATAAATTGTCGGCCTTTTCGTCTGGAACCCCTGACTGGTATCATTGACTACTTCTTGTTTTATTGATATATCAGTTTGCCTTCCTATTCGTATGAGGGTTTCAACCATTATATCAAGGTGCACTCTCTTCACAAAATTCTTCACCAAATCTCTGCAAACTTGACAACGTGGGCCAACTAATGTTTCAAAGAGGAATGTGAACAAAGTGTAGGCGTTGTGTCATTACGATGTATTGGAAAAGACAGTTTACTGATGTGGAGACCACATCAGTTACGAAGTCGGGAAACATGAGACAAGAACAGATGGCACATCCCAAAGGTTACATTCCTGAGAATCTTGCAGAAACAAACCGTTTTGTCTCTAATAGAGAACAATCACTCTCCGTTGGCACAATCCCAGAGTGGTGCCAGAAGGTCAAACAGTGAGGTAGGCAACCCTTCAAAAAGGATAATTGTGGGACCAGACCTTCCATTGTAGAATAACCAAAGCATGCGCGAATGCTTATGAACATGTGATTATACGGCCGATTAGAGGATCGATATTTTTTTTTTTGGAATTGCAGGTTGTTCACCTCAACCTGAAAACGGGACAGTGTGACCACAGAGGGCGGGAGCCTTGACGCGGGATCTGCAGTTGATCCAGACAAGTGGTGTCTGTGATTTCGAGTGAGAGACGTTAATTGGATTGACCAAATGACCTCAGTGAGGACGGACGTGGGAATAATGATGTCAGGAACCCAAACAAACATACCATGGCAATGTTCCACTTTCTTTGGCAAACTTAAGCTGTTTATTGGTTTACGCAGTTTCTAGGGTAACACACGGGGAAGCCATTCAGAATTGCTGGTCTAACTCGCCGATTACAATGTGTTCACTCACAAAATCACTTTCAAAAGCTTGATGCCCATTAATTCAATCGGAAACTAAACGCAAATATATAACGTATTACTTGTTATTCCTGTTTTCAATTTGTTTAGCCTTTATTTGTCCCGTTTTCAAATTGGCAAGCAGTATTATTTTGGCCTTTTTCAGAACAATAGGCCTACACGTATCTCAGTAATATGTTTAAAACATATAAGACCAAACCAAACAAAACGTCAATCAAGAATGACAATCTATGCCTACTGGGGGAAATAATGCTACACACTTTACATCTCTCTTAATATTGAGCATTGAAAGCACGCGACAGAAATATAAGCACAAAATTCATTTTCATGCGCATCACAGGTATTCAGATGTGATTTGGTGTACAATAGGTACCATGGAAACCATTGTATGACCGCGCGCTGCTGTACATAAACCGCGCTGACATTACGTCAGTCCCCATAGGCTTGCTCATTACTCTCTGGTTTTATTCAAAACAATTTTTTTCAGTCCCTACGTGATTGCCAATTTCACGGTAAACTAGCAGACGTAAATAAAGAGCGATGCTCTAGCGTTTTGTGCCCATTCGTCAACCTAAGGTCGAAGGAAACGAGTGTCCGATGTTTATAATTTTTCTTCGTAACGCCGTCTTTCAATGATTCATTTTAACAATTAAACAAGCAAATCAGGTGTAGGTTTCAAAGCAAAGGCATCTTACAACAGATTGCACCCAAACTGTAAACAATGACCTTTACGCATGGTGTTTGTGATGGACCAATGATCGTGTAATTGGTTCACGCATTACTATTTACAAGTCGACGTACATTAATGCATGCAAAGAAAAATGCCTCCAAAATTCATGAGCCTGTCCGTTGTACAATCTGTTACCTTTACGGACACATTTATTTTGCAGAGTTAAATTTTCTGTAAAAACTTCGACCAGCAACAAAATAATTCATTACCGTTTTCACAAAAAGATATTGGCAGTGCACCTTCTTCCTTTTTTCCCCCATTTCATGCATTGTGTATACACACCCAGTCTGGCACAGTGTGTTTGGCGGTCCGGCTTGCAGCCGTAACAGTGATGGGTGAGAAAAGCACAGCTTTCCATCGAATTTTATTCGTAAAAATGAATCCAAACGTCAAGCATAAAAGTTGTAAGTCGGCCATCGCTCAGTCCCTTGGAAAAAGTAAAAGCGTGCATTTTATTTGTCATGGCAAGGACACGCAGCGTTTGCTTCTGAAAATGACGTTCAATATTTGAGCGATGGTTATCCGATGAGTGGCAAACGAATAGAATCCATTGCCTGTACAGAATCACTCGCATGTCCATGCATTAGACACTCGGTGATAAAGTAAACTCACGTGGTAGCCTGTAGTCTTTCGTTTTGCAGAAATTTAAAGAGATGTGAGGAATTTTGGAGGTTTTGGGTTGTATGAAATGGATGCAAAACATGCTTGTCATCCTAGTGGGCAATATCATTGACAGAAAGTAACACGGCGCACTTGTTTTCAGTGGAACGGAAAGACAACGTGAATAGGTGACTCGTGAGTTCAGAAAGCAGTGGATGTTGCAAATAATCACATACTTGGTTTTTTGGTACTTGGGCTACCGGAAGATCATTCCGAGAGCGTTCATAACTTCATTACTTTGCTTACCTCCTGTCCGAAAGTATTCCTGGAGAATATAGCACCATCAATCAATCGTCACCTCCCGCGAACGGTTAAAACTCCACGGAAGAAATCACGAACCACTGTCAGAAATAGTTACGCAGTGCCGATCCGAAAAAAAAAATTGGACTTCCTCATAAATTCCACACGGAGACGAAAGATCCAGTGCGATCCGCGAGGTACGCACGCCGCGGTCTGCGGTAATCATTCTCGGTTGGCGTTGGCCACGGTCCGTACATTGATCGCTGGTGTCTGGCTGCTGCTTTGGCTGCATGCAAGCTGCAGTGAAAGGCAGGGCTGCGCAATCGCATGCGCGGTACCGTGCGCACCTTCACGGGGCTGTCAGCATCCAATCCAACCAACTGCGAGACGTGGATTTAGGAGAGCAGAGAAGCACGCAGGATAGGAGACCGATGTACTGCATATCAACCTGTAGGAGAAAAACTATGAATTATGAATGAGCTAATGCTAGCCTGTCTGCCAACACACAACAGCCGCTGCACGGATAGTGACTGACGTGAAATGTTTGGACCAGTTTGGCATCTGAGCCACAACATTATTTTCGGAACTGTCGCACACTCCTGAGGTAAAATTCGTAGACTTAAGGGAGAGACCTGTTTCAACATAAACAGATTCGCCGGGACTGAATAATGAATCTCTGTGGGTTACTTGTTTTGAATTTTGGGGTGGGGTGGGGGAGGTTTAGGTTTTCCTTGGTTCTGTTTATTTAATTGGTGTTGTTTTGTTTGAGTTTTTATTTCAACCACCGTTCCGATGCACCCGTGATTGTCCTTCACTCTTATGGTTCCATTTATTCAAAGAAACATTGCTCAGTTTCCACAACTTAATTGTTATTAGCCCATTTGAGGCTGTCATTCTATTTTCGATCGACGATTGGTGCCATCACGGCCACGATGGCATTTGGTGCTTCGGTACCAAGCGGGCCTAGGAATCATTTATCATGAGCCTTGACTTGGCAATAACTTAATGCCAGCATGTTTGGTATGAGAACATAATAAATACTTGATAGGTTACCAGTCGATGGGATTGAACCAACTTGAAATACAAGGACGACATGCTTTCTGAGTTCGAGTGTAATGAATTCGTCACGGTAAAGTCAAGTGTTAGTAAAAGAGACCCCTCATGTAGTCTCAGATCAAGTCGCCTTATCTTCAAATGAACTGTGATAATAATGAAGGGCATTCAGTTATCCTTGGTCATGGAGGTTTCACCCAACCTTGTAAGTTGACTCTGTGATGATTATGTAATCCTTTGTAACACAATTACATGAGCTCAAAAATTCTAGAATCCCCAATGAACTTACCAGGGTTTTAATGAAATAAAAAAAAATTACCTTCCCTTCAACCTCTCAAAAAGTCAGCGTTTCCAGCAGAAATGAACAGGTTTAAAAAAGTCCTTGAAGAAACCAAATACGTGTGTCTCTGGACGTATTTGTTTGGCACGTGGGCCTATTCGTGAATTCACCTTCACGTGAATTCGCGTGGCATCACGTGACAACATTATTTTATGTGCTAAAAACAGCAACTGATAAATGCATCTGTACGAGGAACATGTGAAAATGTTGACGTTTTGGAAATGCAATCGACTTTCGTTTCGAAGGTCTTCAATCCATTTACCCCGACTTCCTGTTGGGATAGGACATTCGTAGAGAGTGTGGGCAAATATCAAGAAAAACGTAGAAACCGGAAATAGGAAATGTAGACATAGTTACACTGCACATGTGTACTGAGAGTAAATATTGTGAGTCGCCTGTGTCTCATTCATGTCCAGGAGGGGAGGGCACAGGGAGAGCATGGTCCCAAACATCTAACGAGTCAGAGTACCCACGGGACGGTATTATATAGGCGCACCCAAATCCATTGCAATCTTGCTGTTTTGCTCTACCTACACGCGAGGCCGATCGGTGGTCTTCATTATCCACGCGATTTGCATCAACTGGACAGTGACTTCTCCTCCAACTCCTCAAACTCAACACTTGGTAATATTTATTCATGGGAAATGTTTTTGAATTCTGAATTTTAAAAACACACAGCAAATGAATCAAATGGAAATATATCAAAGTGATGTGGTTTGCTTTGCTTTATAAAAAATGGATTTTGCTTAGGATACAGAAGCAAATCGTTTTTCGACTACGCGAGGATCTTATTGTATCACAAATTAATGATCTTTTATTTAAACAGACCAAGTTTTGGTGCATTGTATAATTCAAAACTACAGCATTTATGTGTTTAGACAGACAATTATAGCAATTCAGTTTACGTAAACTGCTTTAACTGTTTTATTTATAACGGAACAATGTCTTAATGTATTGTATATTTTAAAAACTTATTTGGTGTTTTGGTATCAATTATTGCAATTTAATTTGAACATTTAACTTCTGATTGCACCAACAAAGGGACAGGAATCCCCTTCAAGTGTAAAAAATATATATGTTATGAGGGAAGAACCAGTGACTCTCTATGGAAGAATGAGGCGTGGTATAAGCCCGAAGTCACAAGGGGGATTATTGAATAAGGTTTGTAGTGGTTTGGTGAGGTAGGGTCAACATAAGGCTATCAATTTGAACTATTTTGATACTTCCACGCATGACACGTGATATAACCAGGTGGACACAAATATTGTCTTCGGGTAAATCTTCATGTGGGATAATATACGAGTTATTTCTAACTTTTGAACTACAAATAAAATTCAAGCAAGCAAAAGTCTGTGACTGAACTGTGGACACAAAGGATGACTGATGAATCGTGCAGAATTAAAAGACATACGGTGCCGGGGCAATGACGATTGCTCCCCGGTACAACAATGAAGGGGAACCATCGTGTGTGAATATATCTATATACATTGGCAGAATTGTCGTTCATTCTAGGCAAGTTGAGTCGGCTTGGCTTGGTTATACGGAATGTCCTGCAGTGTTAGGGGTCCGTAGTTACGCTTCACTATATGGTCCGTCGCGTGGGACCGACCCTTATCCTTGTTTCCGTGCCGGCGTCCACCCACGGTGATAATCTGCGCACCGCCCGAGGACTTGTCAGTTCTCGTTGGAGACGGTCCTGCCAGATATGTGAGAAAATTTTCACCTATTTCGGTGTCCAATCATCTCCTTGTCAAGATTAATATAAGAATTAAACATATAAGCTTACGCCCGGGGTCGGCTGGCGTCTGGTAGGAATATCGGCAGAGGAAATTGCCTTCATCCCTCGGCCGTCTGGCTGGATAGCCCCCGCGCGTCTAAAGCCAACGGACGGTCAGATAATTCTATCGATTATAAGTCAACCCTCTGAGAATTTATTGCGGAATTTTATATTTCCAAACATGACAAGTTTATAGTGGAAACGAATGCAAACTGAGGTGCAGTTTGGAGACATGATTAAACCTGTCGGTCAAGTCAAGGTGTACGCTTAATTTGTACAAGGATCTGAGCCGCACGCTTCCAAGTATGGTTCGGTCACTGGACTGAAGGGGTAATGAAGGTAGTTTTTGTATGGAATATGGTGTAGGCGATGGTTGTGATGAAGGTGGTGATGACCGATGGTGGTAACATAGGTATTGGTGGTGACACTAACTTGGTGGTAATGCTGAAAGGGCGAAGGGTGACTTGGTGATGATGATGTTGTGATGATGATGTTGTGATTATGGGTGTCATATTGTGGTGATGGCAATGACAGCTATTTAGTGAAGATCACAATTATGGTTTTGCACCCTGTGTAAGTTTGAAAAAAATGTATAGCATTTTTTGGTCCGATAAATTTTTTTGGGGGGGGTTTGACTTCCCATGGTAAAACCAAGTTTCTTCAAGGACAAAGTTCCTCGGATACAACCCAAGGAATGCCAGGCTAGCAGTTTCTGTCTGTAACTGGGGAGAAGCATGATCACGCTGGACGACATGGCCCAAGACTAGGACCAGACTGGTCAGTCCCTAGTTGTCCACGTTCTCCCTTTGGAATGTTGTCCACCGTCCACTTTTTGATTGGTTATCCCCGTAATTACCCCATTGTTTGACCAATCACAAGTTTCCACCAGTACCTGTATGAGCCTGTAATCGGTAGGGCTACTTAACCCCCTGCCCCCACCCCATGTCTTCAGAAGCAAAGGAGACCATGGTGCAAGTGTCATCCTAGAGTGCCCCTTGCACTTTTTGTAGTTCAGTTAGGAACGAGAGCCAACTCCTTAAATCGACTTTCTGTCGCGTTCCTAACCTCTCGCACCATCTTGTCACGTGCTTTGTCGATACAGGTAAGCCGATATATCTTATCATGTTTCCCCTTGTTTGTTATTGATGAATGTGGCGGCATCAGGATTTGTCCCGCCCACTGATAATTTGATATTTTCACACTCGGCGGGATATATGTAATCCCTGATATTTTATTTACACTTCTCGCCATGTATGCCACTTTTTACATTGAACAGCAATGTAATTATGTGTGTTTTGTGTTGTTTTATATATTTTTAGCTAGCATTCTTTATTTTAACTTGACGTAACCTACGATAGTGATATTTCTTTTGAACGTCGCTCACTTGCCATGTCACATTTTTATGTCGCACACTTCGTAATACCCTTACTGAATCGATCATACCCTTCTGAATAACTTTTCAAACGATTGAGCATTCTTGCTAAAACTACTGACTATCCACCTATCTTGAATACTTCCTTCTCGTTCTTACATTCGCTACGCTAGTTTTATGATTTTTCTTTCCTGAGCAAAATTCCGACTTCAAATAAACGAACCGGCAGAGGCCCTCAGACCATGCTTGGGGTCAACCTGTGGCATGGTGATCGCGGTAATAATGACAACGACAATTACTATGTCAAGAGGCCCAGCGAAAGGACTGGAGCAAACGATAAATGTTGAGGATGTCATATGACATCATTGTGGAAAATGTATATGACAGGTGACATTGATATGAACTGCGAGGATTCCCGGGTAAAATATTACACTCGTTCTAAATACACCTGATAAAAATCAGAACTTCCGCTGGTTGTGTGTGTTTAACACAGCGTTCGGTTAAATTTCGGCTTTCTATATTATGTATCCAAGAACTTCAGCCTCGAGGTCATGCAAAAAAAAAATGTCGGCGCTAGTTAGCCAGGAAATTTCAATCACTCGCGGTTCGCCGAAATTAGCATCGCACTTCCCACCACCAACAACCCTACCAAACCGCCACCGGGCGGGAAGTGGGATCGAATGGACGGCCGGTAGGACGGTGCAAACAGGCCGCGGAATGAAGGTATTGTCCTCACGGGGCTCCTCGTCGACCATTAGGGTTGCACCAGATAACGATCGGCCTATAGAAATAGTATAATTCAGTTTCCTGGATCACAGTTCATCTTTCGTTTTCTGAGGGGACATAAAGGGCAGAGTGATCTCTGTAAACGGAGACGGGCCACCAACTGACAAACATCGGTAGAAT